CCTTAAAAAGAAAACCGCGTGTTTTTTGTTCAAAATCGGTTTTATTCATCAACGTAATTTCCATCAAGAACAATCATTCCAGCGCCGCTGGAATTTCAATAGCACTTTTGTAGGCCATCGTTTCAGCAATAACATCTTCATTCTATCGAAATTTCTCACCGGTGAGTCTTTTTTGAGTGAAGTGATCTATGTTTCATCCGAGGTCACATATCGACGCAAAAATTCCGGTTTTTTATGTTTAAACATGGCCAAACACTGCTTAGAATCATCAAGATGTTCTTGTTTATGGTCGACAGTGAGCACGCGCGGCACCCACCTTTATCAGAACTTTCTCATAATCAAATGCTTGTGCAATATAAAGCCAACACGTTCCTATTGATATCTTTACAATGTCAGTTAATTCACGCAACTTCACTATTCGATCATTCAAAAAGATTTTGTGGATTTTTTTAATGTTTTTTGGTGTTACTGCGTCATTTGGATGTCAAGCCATTGCTTCGTTTGAACGGTATTTTTTCCCATCAAGAAGAAGTGTAAAATTCAAACACAAAATTGCTTTGAATCCATTGTTTTGAAAATAGCAAGAATAGTGTCACTCTTGGAACTCACTAACTTATGAGAAGAATATCATGAAATTTTAACAGCTCTATGTGTTAGGCCCAAGTTCTTTTGCGGTGGGCAATCTGATTTCTCTTGTGAAAAATTTAATGCAATTATAGTATTATTACAAAAAAGAAAGCTTGGTGGTAGGTATTATGAAACTATATTTCCATTACTGGTTGTTCAAAAGTTGTGTAATTTTTGGAACAAAATTGTTACTCCATACCTGTTTCACCAGGTAAAACAACTAAACTCATGATAAAAATACAAGGTCACGAACAATAGAAATTTTTGATCAACTGTTTTCTGTGGCATGTTGAAAAAATTATTTTCGAAAACCTACTCGTCGCTCTTTTGCTGGTATCATTTCGAAGCGTTGCATTTAATTAATTATTTTCCGACGGAATTCTGAAAGTTTTCATATTTTCAGGCAAATATATTCGAAATAGTTTCAATAATTTCTACAATCTATTTTCAAAATTGATGTTTAGTTTGAGATATGAAGTTTTCAAGTTTTGCTCTAAATGATTGAATTCAACGATGTTAAAACGTGAAAGGATAAAAAGGAGTTGTTGAACTTTCTAGATTGACAAATGAAAACATAATTTTCTTTTAAAGACACATAGGTAATGAATATTCTATAGTGTGAACATCAAATACACTTTATATTTCATGTAACCTCTCAAAAAATGTGAAGGCGCCCTATTAAATGATCTAGTAGGCCATTGTATAAGAAAACGTGTCTGCATATCTACAAATTTGGATAATGATGGCAACACAACACGGCACTCCTCTAGTGCAATATCCTCTTCCTCTGCAGTGAATTGATTCGCAGTATTCAGCAGTATAATTGCAATTCCTACGGCTTCGTTGTAGGTGGTTCGATTTTCTCTCTTGCGGCATTGTAAATATCATTAGGATAGATACTGCTTACTTTGCAAGACAATTGACCAGAAGGGAAAGTGCCAGAACACATTTTGAAGGACCAAAATGATTATACCAGTGAATCACACGCTAAGAGACGTATGCTCAAAGAATCAGCGATGTATTTCAAAGAGCTCCATAGAAATGAATCGTTCTTGGCCACTTGTGTTGAAGAAAGATATTGGCGAAGTTGCAAGAGACTAGTTACATTTGATATTTTGAGTTTTGTAGACGGAGGAAGATATTGGCACCCGAATGTTAAGATTAGTATCTAAGTATACAATTCATTGACTAATTTTTTGTAGGCAAAAATTTTCCACAAAAAATGACTTTTCGTTAAGTTTTCAGTAATGAACCAAGTATTGAAATTCTCCTCCAGATATTGCAGTTGACTAGAGAACAATTCCACATTTCTACGGTAAATTAATTTACAAAGTTTCCTATAGCGCTCAGGTTTTTATCATCTGGTCGATTTCGTCAAATTCTCTCTCTTCAAGAATATTATTTTCGGTTGGGAGGGCACGCGCGCAACCCGCAACAGGTGTTGGAAACAGAAGGTATCCGAAGAAGTGGATATAGCTAAGCGAAGTTCGGAGAGTCAGCTGGTCTCCTCTCGCATCAGACGAACGAACTTCTCGAAACAGATGTCGGCCCTTCTTAGTTTTGGTTAACTGTTCTTAGGTAATACGGTGACTTTGAATCGAGTTTGAATTATAGAAACCGAATCGATTCAGATTGAATAGCTGGTTATTTCGCGGAAGACATACGAAATATTTAGAAGAGGATATCGTATTCAAAGACACACTTTAATGTGAGATTTTCAATGCGACACGTGCTATACAGTTGTATTGTATTGTGACGCCATAGGATGCTATCGTTTAGCGTCACAATACAATACAATTGTGACGCCAGAAGATGCGACCGTATAGCGTCACAATACATTACAATTGTGACGCCAGAAGATGCTACCGTATAGCGTCACAATACAATACAAGTATTATGACGGCAGCAAATGCTACCGAATAGCGTCACAATACATTACAACTGTAACACCAGAAAATGGTTATAGTCTGTCATCGAACAGATATTGTTTTAAAAGAGCCGCGACAGATCCGATCCGTCGATCGACAGATTTTAGTTCTCGAACGTTATCATACAGTCAAACAATATCTATCTTTCCTTTTCGATCTAGGTAACTCACATTTTCATTCCTACTTGCGCCATTATGTTATTTTTTCCCTTCAAAAATTAATAAACCCATTTAAAAAACCTTATTCTCCCTCACTGGATGGTTTTTATTCATTAGGTATGAAAAAATACAAAACTACAAGTGTTTATTTTGAATAACACAATGAGAATTTGCTCAAAAATAAATATTATTTATAGAAGAAATACGGGCATGCAGAGTATAGCTAAACTAATAATGATTAATGGGTAATATTGATTGCTTTATTTTTCCAATTTAATACGTATTATTGATTGCTTTATTTTTTTATTGTAATTGAGAACGAGGGTGAATAATAACTTTTCCCAATGAATCTTGACACAATTAGAGACCAATTCATCAACGCTCTAATTCACGTTCTTAAAACACAATTAGCAGGTATACACTGAGAAATTTAATATTTTTTGAGACTTTCCATCATCAAAAGGATACATTAAATATTATGTAACAAAACGCTAATATCGCGTTTCGTAGAAATAGAAATTGATTCAACTCAATGGTCCGGCAATAGTAATTGTCGAGTTGACGTCCATATTATTTTAATTCCACATAATAAATCTCATAATGATACCACGCACGGCTTCATTTCGTACTCACTTTTATTATAAAATTACAGTTTACATTTTTATTTTCGTTCGCTTAAGTCATACAAGTACACATTTCCTACATAATTTTGAATTGATTTCGCCTAATGAGAATAACGTTCGCATATTCATTAGCTAAATCTGGCTGTTATACAAACGGCGATGGCATTTTAATATATTTCAGTAAAATTATGGTGAAGGGCATGAGAAGAATGATCTGAAAATATTTTGATATCGAGTTATGCAAACAAGAAATTGGAGCAAAAAACCCGTCTGAAGACGCTAATCTTTCGTGAGAGCAGCAACTTTGAACCGATTAGTTCAGTTATCTCGAAAGATAGTCATGTCATATCAAATAACCATAATTATAGACTAACGGGTTTTTGAAATCTGAATATTGATTGAGATAATCTTGTTTGAAATTCTGTATCTACTTAAGATTTTAGAAGAAAATGTTTCGTTCTCGATAATTATCGCACCTATTTCACTTGTTCACTGTCGCTTTTGTCCCATGCAACTTCAAATTAAATCGCGTTTAGAACTCATTTCAATGAATCTGAATGAAATAATAATAATAATAATAATGGGGTCTTCTTCAGTAAAATTGGAGCCCTTGGCTTATCAAAGCGCCTGACGTTCGCTTTCCTCTGGTCGAGTGGGCTGAAGTCGGAAACTGAGGGGTTCATCATGGCTTGCCAGGATGGTGTCTTCAACACCTTAGTCTACCGCAGTCGCGTGATGGGTATAGAGGTTCCTGACACAAGGTGCAGGGCCTG